TATATACAGGGGGACGTTTTGAAAACCCTCAATTTCTTCCTTCCTGTAAATAATAATATATGAAAGATCGAAACGTAAGGTCGATTTCATTTCCAGAAGGAACACTTGAAGGGGTAGATGTTGCCCTCAGATTCTCAAATAGGAGGGGGTTCAAGGGGTACATCATTTTGAAGGGCGCTCAATTCTCTTTCCAACGGTGCCATAGTTCATTATTTTCTGTTGAGCAGTTTCCGAAAATAGCCATGTCAATTAGAAAACTTCTCACAATCAATAGTGAATTATAAGAGAAATTGAAAAACGAAAAAACATATCAGTCAATTGTGTCAACACTCTTATCACCTTCCATTGGTTTCAAGAATGAAATGATAGTAGGATGTCATTGATTACAATCCGAAATGAGATTTTCTGTTCAGCTAGGAGCACTGGTTGAAGCTAGAATCCTCTCAAATACATTCGAAAAAGTTGTAGAGGTATTTTCGAATCATTTATAGGTACTCGAGCAGAATAATTTCAATATAGGATAATTCCACTTGAATGAAGGCTATAATTGTGATTATCATGACCGAGACTTTGTCTCAATTCACGTAGATTAATGAACAATCCTCGCATGATAAACTCAGAAACCCAACTGTCAAAAATAATAGGAACTGAAAAATAATATTCAACTATTCATTCAGAAGGACCCCTGATTCCGGAACTTCAAATAAATATTGAGAATATGAGATACTAAACATTTGTAATTCCAATAAATATTGAAATTAGTTCGTTATATTTGTCTCAACCAGATATTGGAAATCTTCTGTTTTCTGGATTTGAAATTTGAGGGGAAACTGTTTTTATATCTTCAATCTCAGAACGTTTCCTTCTTCTGGAATGCCATCCCGAAACAACTTTCTGTTTCACGAATCTGAGCCCAATATTCAGTTCCAACTGTAAATAAGGCAGATTTGACTCTTTCAAGGCTAATTCATAGTTGCGACAGTGAATTTGGAGATGTTAAGAAAACAAAGTTCCATTTCTCTTATTCACAGTTGCAATGCAGAAAAAGTTCTCCAAATAAGTCGGACAACTATTCTTGAAGAAAAAGTCTCAATATGCCACTTATGAGCCACTGTATTTACTCTACCTGAAATATCTATATCATTTACTTGAAAAGATGTTGAGTGGTCTCTGAAATTGATTGAGAATGTCATTATAAATTCACATGGATGACAGTAAGGTCATTCAGAATCTGAATAATCCGCAGTAATATATACTGGAAGTTCAATTACGATACGAATCAGATAGTACCTATTTCAGAGGTGAAAATTACGCTTGGGACAGTAATGTGATTATTTCTTCCATATTGAAAAAGAAACAATGACCCAAAATACACTTGTGTCGTTATTTCTACAAAATTATTTATTCAACAACACATCTAATACTCTCAAGTTACATTTACGACATTTTTGTAATGTGAAAAAATAACTTGCATCAACACTTTATAGAAGACTTATTCTCACAGCTGACCGTTTTGGCAATTTTCTCTCAGTAAAATTGTGCAAATTGATACAAATTCCATAACGACTTAACCTACATCTAGCGGCAAAATATGTTACCAGAAATATGCATAATTTTGCCATATAGAATCAACTTTTCTCTATCTTCTGATGGGTATAACTCATTTTCCAAAAATGTCGCAGTTACGTCAATATTTTTCTGGAAAGGCGATATTCAGGATTATGCCATGATTGAATCATCTATGAATGTATATTGGTATCATTTGTTATTCAGATCACTCTGTATCAATGATTACCATTATATCAGCAGTCTCGTAAAGGAGATGTCATTCGTATTCTCTGAAAATCAGTTTCTTGTTGACCACCCTGTTAAAAGGATACTACATCTTTCCTGTGCCCTTGCAACATATATATCGTTAATGAATCTCGGTATGGGGTGAATCCATATTACAGGGTTTTTATTTTTATGATGTTTCCCCTCAAGTGCCGAATCAGGTCATACGAAAAAATCAATATAGGTAGTTCGAGTATTTTCATTCCCGTGACAGATTTCTCATCTTCGAGCACTCTAGGTAGATAATGAAAGTCCAATAAAACAAAATTTTCAATTACATTCGTCAAACAAAATGGTCATTGTCCAACGAATGCCATTTACAAAACGCTGTTGACTTCTCGCATTCTCAGTGATGAGGAGTAGGTACTAATTAGAGTTCCTAAATGTTCTTGACACTGCTGTTTTGACTTTTTTGTATATTAGAGTACGGACACTTGGCAAGCAGTGACAATCAAACATAACCACAAACGATTTCGAAGCAGATCATATGTTCTGCCAGACGAAGACAGCAATTTGTTTTTCGCTGTCTTTTATTCGTCTGAGTTTTTCGCCCAGATGAAGGTTCCTCGCATCTTCTTCCCTCCACGAGTCCTGGGGAAGAGTACATCCATTATATCCTTCTCTGTTTTCGATTTCTGTAGAAGAGTGCATAGCGTCTCCTCGAGTGGGTAAAAGGGTACGATAAATTGATTACAGAAATTATTTCATTCCGAAATATTGGATGATAACACTGAAGGACCTCAATGGAGGTCGATATCAAGTTGGTATGTACATATATATCAACGAAACTTCTTTCATGCCATCTGTTACCATTGAATTCCGGATTTTGAGATGAATCATGCTCATATGAAGCAACATTTTTACTAAAATTATTCAATTTGTTATTCAAATCATTCATTCGGTTTTTCAAATGCAAAAGTTTTTCATAGTATTGTTCATCGAAACTTTGAATTTTGCCCAAAGTTGCCTGAAAATTTCCTTGTTAAATTTTTTTGTTTCTCTCTGAAGATATTTGCTGATTTTGTTTCAAATCTGAAATAATTTTTAGGTAGATTGTAGATTGTAGATAGGTCGTATAGGCTGGGAGACCTCTCGATCACTGCGACCTAGAAGATCTATTGTGATTACCCCTATCTAGTTTTGGTCCTCTAACCCTAGACTTCTGATGAATCCTACAATTCTCCTGACGGTTGAATTTTCCACCTCAGCAGGGGTGAGATAGACCAGTTCCAGGTGGTTCAGCCTTTGGCGGACTAATAGTTCACATGAGCAAAGTGTGTGTTCCGCGGTTTCAGTCGCATTGTTGCAAAAGCAGCAAGTGTCAGTCTCCGTCAGGCCCATCTTTTTGAGGTGGTACCTCCGAGGGCCGTGTCCTGTGAGAAAGCCTGTGATCAGCTTCAGCTCTGGTTTGCTGAGGCTGAGTAGCTCTTTGGCTTGGTTCTGCGAATGGTTGATGAATCTTTTCGCTTGTCGTTGACCTGGAGTTGCTCTCCAGTAGTAGACATTTTTAATTTCTTCCCATTCGCTGAGTTCTTACTTTAGGTGACATTTGCTTATCCCACAAAAGGGCTCAGGACCAAAAAGTGCAGATGCTGCACCTTTTTTTTTGCTAGGCGGTCAGCTGCCTCATTTCCTTTGATTCCTTCATGCCCTGGAACCCACATAAGTGTGACTTTGTTGTCCTTCCCCAGTTGCATAAGTGTTTCAAAGCAGTTCCATGCGATCTTTGATGTGAAAACGAATGATTTCAGGACTTTTAGTGGGGCTTGGCTGTCTGAGCAGATACATATGTTGGCACCCCTCAGACCTCTGCTCAGGCACCCTTGAGCGCAAAGGTTGATAGCATGTATTTCTGCTTGGAAGATAGTGGAGGAGTGACCTAAGGCTTCAAATAGCCTACATCCGGGTCCATATACACCTGAGCCTGGCTGGCATTATCTGTACTTCTTGTAGAATGACCATGTGACCAGTGACAATACCTGGTCTGGCCAATTCAGTGGAGTTCAGTCTGTATGCACTGAGAGCTGCAGTTCTCTTGATAAATATATGCAAGGGTAGTAGGTCATGCATAGCTTCCATTGCTGCAGCTTAAGTTGTGCTGTTTTTTCCTTACTTTTGGTATTTATCACCTTATTTTCAGGTAATAGTTCTGAATTTTGCTAACGTTGACTTTTGCATGTGAATCTTTCTGCTAAAACTTATTTTTCGATTCTCTTATTTTTTCTTTCATCTGTTTCCTGAATTCTTCACTCTCTTCCACTCGTAAACCTTGAAATTCTGAATATTCTTGCTCTGAAACTTCGATTCTCAAGTCTATTCATTTAAAATTATGTCCAAAATGGATTTCATTATCTGCAAGTTCTTCGTTTCATGTTTGTTCTAAATTGGAATAAGGTTCTTTTCGATACTCGATCAGTTCATCAACATATAATCTTCCGTTCTGAAGTGTCGTATCTGATAGAAATGCGTTGAAAAATATTTTATTAAATTTGAATACCCCGCAAATTATGTGGCCTGAACTTATATTCCATGTCGGCCGCATCATATTCTGTTTCTATACAAAAAACGTCAAAACAGCAGTGTCAAGTTCATTTAAGAACTCTAGTACTAATCAATGTGTGATGATGTGATCAGAGCACAAATTGAATTTACGGCTCAAAAGAAAATCCGTAGACCGCCGTATTCCAGCGAAACTTTTCAAAGCCGTTTAGTTTACTCAAATTACAAAGTCCCTCAAAGATCCTGAAAACGTTTCAGAGGTCTTAAAAAGCAAACGCCGACGTATTATGCATGTACATTATTTACCGGCATAACGCTTTGAGGATTTCTATAAATCCTTTCTCGAAGTTCTCTACTCTTTTCCAGCTTGTATCTTTTTCGCCTCGAGATTATATACGGACAGCTCAAGCGTACCAGCAAACGTTCGCGAAAACTCGAATGAAATCTAATGAGAAAAAAATTGTGAATATACCTGAAGCTTTAACAAGAAATGGACAGCAAATCATCGAATGAAATCAGTTGAGAACACAAGCACTTTTCAAATCTTTGGATTTTTCGTCAACGTTACTACCAGAAAGAGAAGTGATGAGGAGCATTTTCTCTGAACAATCAAAATGAAAATCAAGATAGAACCTATTTTAGGAATGTTCTGAAAGTTTGTTCTGCCCATGTCCCTAAACGCTGATGAGTATTCCACCTCACCAGAGCTGATAGAATCTCAAGAGATCAAATTCAACTTTTCCTCAAGTATAGTCAAGCATGTCTGGGGATATGCTCGACACTTCCTGAGATTACTTGAAGTCCAACTACGAAATAGACTCAATACCCAAAGTGGAATGGAATATCTGAAACGCACAACAATGGTAGATTTCGGGAGAAAAACAACTACTTTCCTGGCCAATCTCACGAAGGATTACATCTTTCCCAAATCTATGCATCGACTCGTATGAACGAATCCTCATACAAGTGATTGTTTCCTGAATGCCCATTGATTTTTATTTAGCCAGGCCACGCTAGACACCTACAGGCCTGTTTCGAGCTCTTTGAATCTCATCAGTGCAGGGCAGTCTCCAGCCAGCAGTCCTAAGGCCGCCGACTAAGCGTAGAATAGCCAAACAAAAATTAAGTCTGCATTTATATTTCCTCAGAGGAGTCCCCCATAGACAATATGAGAGCAACGACATCTGAGTAAAACAGAAGGAAAGAAACACTCCAAAATCAAAATTCCCAAACAGGAGTGGCTGACGTGATATCAACTACGAAATAGTCACAATGCTGAAGGTAGAGTGAAATATCGAATAAATACAAAAAGTTATATATAATATAATTGCACTAGAAGAAGCTCCATTTTGCTATCAACAAAACCACAACGTTTCATCGAAATTGATGGAAGACAATTGAGAAATAAATAGAAGAAAGATTTTTCATGGAAATATAAATACCCTGTATCTTGAAAACGTAGCAAGTCAGGATACATATTTATATGAACTTCAGTTCCTAAAATATCACAAGAAATCACGTCTTGAATATTTTTTCGGTGTTATTCAGATACACCTTGGAGAAGCGTTTCTCTTCAGTTCTGTAAACTAATATTTCCGTCGACCTCGTATTAACGACTAAGTTTAATGTATAAGAAATCGTTCATTAATGACCCCTATTAATGAACGATTTGTCTATTAATGTACGATTGTTTTATAGGCAACCAAACATACACCGCGTGCATTCATTGTTTATGCTATAATTAGCGGAATCTGCATTTAAATCGAAAATATGGATTTCATCGACGATTTTCCGTTAACGGGTTCGCCTTTTCAAGTTTCTGACACGATTTTAATCCCTGTTTTCTAACACAAGGAATTTATTTCCTATGTTGATCATTTCGACAAATGTCAAATGACACTAATGTCAGTAACAAGGCTACTGGGTGATTCTTAGCAGTTTCCAGATGGATAATGAATTCGCGAACGAAGTTTTCTTCATTGCAGGAGAAATGAGAAATATAGTCGACGGACAAATTTTGTAACCAACTTGTATATTAAAAGGCGATTAATTATCTCGAACATTAACGCGCTCGCTTCGCTCGCACGTTAAAATATCTCGATCATTAATCGTCCTCATTGATACACTAGTTGGTTAAATAACTATTTTCATTTTATTTGTTCCAGTTGCTTGTTCGACAGTGACGGTGACGAAATGCCAAGCTGCCCTTCGCACCCTCCAAGCGTTCCCTTTCTTCAAGCCGACCTGCCTCTGTCGAGAGCCTCACGTGGATCCCGATTGCAACTCCTTCAGGGACTTCCTCTTCGATCATCCATGCTCTTTTGTCATCAAAAAAGGTACGTTAAAAAGATCCGGAAACTACAAGGATAAGTAAATAAGTTAGTTAGAGGTTGATCATTATTAGACCTGGGAAAAAATATCGATCTATCGATGAATTTATCGATATATCGATATATCGATAACTATTGATGTATCGATAACTATCGATATATCAAATCAAATCAAAATAAGCTTTATTGTCCAAGATGAAATCTTATTGACAAAGCAGAGTGAAAATGTGTATATAAAGATTGGAAATACATTGTTGCAATACAACATAAAGTATACTCATAAACGTCAATACAGATAGATATAGAATGAGTCACAAGAATAAATTAACAAAATTAAAAAAATGAATGAATATATAGCTAGCACAAGAACATGAAGATCAATAAATTATCACAGTAATATTCATTCATATCATGATATGCTTCAGTGAGAAGCAATACTTCCAGAGCTCTTCTGAATTGTCTATTATCATTTATTTCGTTGAGATCAACTGGCAAGTGATTATATATTTTTGAATCTCCATATATTGGAGAATTCTTTGTCAATGTAGATCTTGGGATTGGAAGATGAATATGGGAACAAGTTCTTGTATTGTATCTGTTAGCGGAAGTCATGCACGACATCTTTTTGGAGCGCAATGGGTTAAACGCTTCCATATATACGGAGGTGATCGTGTGTCCCAAACGTATTTCAGGACACATGTTTATAAGAAATGGATAGTACTATTTCATTCCCAATAAAACATGCTTGAGTACATAGAATTTTGGATCACCCTATACAATAGGCGCTTCTGCCACCATCCATTCAACTGGGAAAAAAACAGCGAAATTAGCTTTCCGAGTCGAAAATGTGAAACGTAGGTATATCGTCCAATCGAACATACTATTTTGGTATCAATGGTATAGTTTCTATGGTCTTTTTGATTTGAATCATATGTATTTTTCAATCAGAACACTGCTACGATTGCTGAACACGCTCCGGATATCGAAGTGCTGAATCAGGACGTTGATTTCCAACTAGATTCTACTGAATACTCGTATAACCTTGGGAATACATGCATACGGAAGAAAATGGCAAACATACGGAGATAATTATTCCCATGATGTAGTACTGAATATTTCCAAATTGGAGATAAAGTTTAAAACAGCGCTTTGTATCTTCAAATCAATATACAGTTCACAAAAAACGGCCAGGACTGTAACTTTTGACTTATCCGAGACAGGGTTCCTAAAATTGGTGGGTAGCTCATTAATTGATGAAACAATTTGTCTTATATCACTTCCACTTTCACCGGACACGTCCCCAACTCTTGATTTTTGAACAGGACATCCTGTATTGTATTTCATAATTGATGAGGAATTATCATGACGAATTCAACGATACGAGGTTTGATAGAGTTATTTCAAACGATCACTAAGATATTTGCGTTCGTGGTTTCCATATGCCCAATGGGTATGACTTCGCAATATCAAAACGCCTTTCTCTGTCAAACTCATTGAGCATATGAAAACTTGTAACGCGAATATCTGAGTGATCGTTTATCAAACCCGGTATCGATAAATTCTAGGGAATGAGACAAAAATATTCATTATTCATTTGTTGTTTTCGTTTTTCACTATTGCACCATTCAATTAATGCTGTGTATTGCTTCTCATACCTCTCTCGAGACTTCGTTGGCAATAAATCATCTGTATCGCACCTGTAGCTGGAAATTTTTCATCGCAATTCAACTGAATCAAAAATGATAGTAACGCTGTGTCTGTCACTGTGAAAATTAATACTAACTAATTTGTGTTTTGATTGACATGACCACAATTGTTTTCCACATCAGATTTATATAGCAATCAATCATTATTTCTCAATATCTCTCCATTTTCACAATAACTAATAGTTCAATTCGATGAATGATTTTGTACAAACTTACTGAATACTGCAACCAAATACCTAGAATTTTCATATTTTGCGAGAATAGTATTATAAATGGTTTTCCCGTACTAGTGTGGGAAAATTACACTTCCCAAACTAAATTGCGTGCGGGTAAAGAGTGAATCACGCTCGCTCGTAGAGAAAGAAGTTATAATCTGAATGGTAGTGTTGAAATGGAACTCCGAAAGGGTGGTATCACGTTTCCAACCAGTGCCGGTTCTACCAGTGGTCTCTTGGGTACTATAGCACCAGGCGGCAAAATCTTCAGGAAGGCTAATTGAAAATACAACTGCACATCGTTTGTTTGAGAGGAGAAATACGGTAGAAAGTTCAAACCAGAGAGAAAACTGGCGGACACAGTGTTTCATTCCAAGTTGCAGATGTGAAATTTTTCGTCGTACTTCCACCTACAAATCTTGTTCTGAATCATTCGACTTTCTGTTCAAGATAGTGTCAGCACAGGATGAAAATTTGATCAAATGAACAACTAAACTACAAAATATGTATTTTAAGGATCTGGACAAATTTGTTTCTGACTGCTAGACTGGAAAAAACATTTTTTCCTCCCAGATACTGAAGCAGAAACTCCTATCATGTAATTTGACAATTTCTACACGAGAATAATGTAATAGGATAGCTTCTTCTCCCAATATGAATATTCATTTTCGAAATTTTTGAGGTAAAAATTTTGTCTCAACTCAAACAAGATCTATTCAATGAAACTAATGTATAGAGCTTGTGAACAGTGTCATACATGAAGTCTTGCATTGAATCAAGAAAACACATTTTTGTAGTGTAACTTCATGTTCCTTGGCAGGTACTGGTCTATCATCATTAGATTCTTCTTATTTATTCTAACAAATACCTATAGGATTCGTATTTTTGGTAAAGATTAAAACCTGTGAGGAGAAAAAAAAACATGGTTCTTTATGGTGAATCAGTTGTATGTTGGTCTACGAAAAAGCAACAGAGTGTGGCAGTATCAACGACTGAAGCTGAATATATGGCTGTCTTAGCCTCTTGCAGACAAGCAATGTGGATATCTCAGCTGATGAAGGATTTGGGTCAAGAAGTTTGTCCATTGTTGCTGTGTGACAATCAATCAACAATCCATCTATCAGTAAATCCTGTTCTACATTAGAGAAGTAAGCACATTGATGTGCACTACCACTATGTCAGAGAACGAATTCTTAGACAAGATGTCACTTCTGAAGAAAATGTTGCGGATTTGCTTACTAAGCCACTGAAAAATGAACAGTTTGTTCATCTTTCATTTGATCAAGATGAGCCCATCTATACACATATTTAAATCAAGAATCAAAAACTTCTTATCTGAGTAGTCATCAATGTCATAAACTGGGCGTCAATTGAAACGTTAATAGTGAAATTTGGCATCAAGTTTGACTTCTTGTAATTTCTAAAATATTGAACGAATTTTGAATTGCCGCCCAGATTCTGAATGCCTTTTCCATCGTCTTTCGAACCGTTCCTTACAGCTTCTTCTAAATTGATCAGGATCCATGATACAGGGTGAAACAAAGTTACGTGCATTTTGAAAAAAAATTCTCCGCCCCGCCATTTTATAAATAGCAACCATACCTCGGGACGTTTTCGAGTTTTTGCCAAAAACTACTGTGGTTTCCAAAAAATAAATTTTTTTAGCATTTTTTTTCAATGGACTAATTACCTGTATCACCAAAACGATGAATCAGTCTCTTTATTGTCATGACTGACTTATTGAAAATGGTACTTAAATGAGTTTGGGTATATCCTAATCGTCGTAACCTGAAATAATAATTATCTGTACTGAATTATAGTTTATATCACTATAGTGATCTTACCTAATGATATTTTCCATTTCGACCCGATTTGAACGAGGCATCTTCAAATTATTTAGGACCCGAATTACACTGACGTTTTCATGAAAATTGGCAATTGATATAACCTCTATGCATACCTACATTGTTTCAACAATACGCTGTTATGAAAACAAGGTATCCTTGTTTGTATTTGTTGATGAGATGTGTTGATTTACTGCTCACTAAGGTAGAAAACTTTCATCGTAGACTGCGAAGTAATAAATTATTGATTGTTTTTGAGTAACCTGGTTTACATATCTGCTCCAACGATTTCCTGCAATGCATAAAAGCATCCATTTATGGAACTTCTCTAAAATTAGTCCATTTAAAAAAATGCAAAAAAAAATGTTTTTTCGGAAAACGTCCCGAGGTATGGTTGCTATTTATGAAATACCCGAATAAAACATTAGCATTGTGGTCTTCTGACAAAATGGGGGGGGGCGGAGAAATTTTTTTCAAAATGCACGAAACTTTGTTTCACCCTGTATCACGGGTCCTGATCAATTTAAAAGAAGCTGTAAGGAACGGTTCGAAAGACGATGAAAAAGGCATTCAGAATCTGGGCGGCAATTCAAAATTCGTTCAATATTTTAGAAATTACGAGAAGTCAAACTTGATGCCAAATTTCACTATTAACGTTTCAATTGACGCCCATGTTTATATGGCAATGGTGTTCTCGATAGAAATATACATTTTATATTCATGTTTATATATATTATATACATATTTGTAATTTAATTCAATTTATTTCTGTATATTGTATTTTTTAAATTGTATTCATCGTTTTATAATATTTTTTATATATTTTTTTTGTAAATTAGGAATTCCTTTTTGAAATAAAGATTATCATTATTATTATTATTATTATTATGTTTATGAAGAATTCAGATTGAGGGAGGCTGTTGCAGAAACAATCTCCATTCATCATATTTTCATCTTCTTTGATACATTAGGTATACAGTTGCTATGATGTTGTTTTTTAGTTCTTTCAATATGATAAAAAGGTGTCACATCGTTCCATAATAAGCAATCTTTGCAGATACACAAAGAGTACTATTAACATAGGTGCCGTTTCACTATATATCACTTCAAAAATGTATCATGGGAAAAGAATCCAAAGATCTGAAAGATCAGGAATATTTTTGAGTCTGATGGGCGCCCCTCAATCATAGCACCAGGCGGCAAATCACCTCAAACCGGCACTGTTTCCAAACGCAATGAATTTCCCTAGATCTACGGATTTAATAACATTGCCATTTTATTCCAGAGAAAGACCCTTACCCGGTGGACGCGCTCCCGACCTGCAATCATGCTCTCTCTGTCTGCCAGCAGGAGAACAAGTGCATCAAGCTCTACGAGGATTTCAAGACAGACTGCAAAGTGCGAGATAACAGATGTCGCATGGATGACAGGTGAGTGAGATCCCAAAGCCGACCACGATTAAGGTCGGGTCACGCGATAACGTATCTGCTCATGGGCAGGTGTTTGTAATTTGGGGATGGTTTGAGTCGGCATAATCGGGGATGAAAGGGTGACACTGTGGCCTAAACTATTACGTCGAGCCACCAGAAGGTTTTCGATTTACAATTCAGATATCCATCCAGAGTGTTCTCGGAATTATGATACTCATTATGAAATATCGTGCAACTCATTAGGATACATTATTTCAAAAATTGTAGTATGAAATATTTGGACAATAATGAATTTATCTATGTTCATACAGTGTGTTTAATAATTCAGTACGAAGATTTCCGGGACTTTTTTTTCTGGTTGAAATAAGACTTTTTCGTTCATGAATATGTATCTGCAAACGCTAGGTTACCAATGTATAGAGCATTTGAATCTCAAGAACTCTTTGTTTTCCAGTACTATTTATAGAAAGTCAAGGTTCGTTAGGTATCTTATTCTTCAGATGAAGTTTGGATAATTATTGTAATTGAGATCACAAACTGAATATGCAGCGTTTTTCGTTCTCATTGTTATGAGAGGTTTCTTCCTTTCCTCGAAGATAACAATTCAATTCAACGAATTGAAAAAATATACTATTTTCTGTGACAGGAAAACATTTTGAGAAATAATAAGATCCTTCGCCAAAATTTGAATATTCGCGACTCCGCCTAAAATTACTCTAGAAAAATAATGATGATACTTCACCAAAACATTAAAATATGCGACTCCGCTGAGAATTGAAACTCCGTGTAATATTAGATTATCATATCTTCTGAGCAGATTAACTGAAGTGAGCATCCTAATATCATCACTATTATATAGGTCGCGTGCACGATGACAGCCCCTGGAGGCAAAATATTGATACACAACCTCATTTTTCTGTGAATTATTGAAACTTAACCCCACTTTTTCATTTGGTTACAGAGGAATCAAAGGATTTACAATATTTTGGCAAACAAATCATGTTCTTTGCGCTATTCATCAATTCGAGCATGCCTTCGCATTGTGTTGTTGTACAATGCACAAAAAATGCATCAAGAGACTAAAGAATATGATTTTTCAGGTGAATAGTAATCTCACATAGTTATCATTATGAAATGTTGTCATTCCTTATTAAAATTCCTTCTGCAATACAAGCTGATACTGCTGATATATTGAAAATGTCTACAACACACACGATCGTCAGCATGTCAGACCTGTCCTCCCGATTGATTGCATGAATCCAATCTTCTTGCATTATTTTAGAAATTTCAGGTGTATTTCTATAAGCTCCTATCGCAGAAAGGATTCCGATGAGAAATCAGAGAAATGACCAGATTTCAATAATGAAAACTATATGTTAGTGACTATAGTTGGTACTTACTTTTTAATCATAATATACCGACCGGATTACTTCGTCTTCCGCTACAGATTTTGTGCATTTCAAAACAGCATAATGGCATGAGCGAATTGATGAATAGCGGAAAAATACGATTCGTATACCAAAATAGTTGTGAAAAACTATTTCGATCACTTGTAAACAAATAAGAAAAGTGAGGTTGTGTTTCAATGTTGTGCCTCCAGCGTCGGTCATCTGACAGTTCTTGCACGCAACCAATGCTCTGGCGAGTTCATGAGAAGTCATGTTAGGTAAGGTTAGGTTAGGTTCAAAAAAATCATAGTGATCTTCCACCAAAACATGAATATTCGCGACTCCGTCAAGAATTGAAATTTTGTATAATATTGGATTATGATATCTTCTGAGCAGACTAACAAAAGTGAGCATTCCGAATATCATCGATATACCCTGTGAAGTTCAAGAGCAGACAGATTACAACAAAAGTGAACGATCACCTCAAATAAATAATACTTATCCTTCACCAAAACATTAAGAACCGCGACTCCGCCGTGAATAGCGACTCCGTATAATATTGGAATATGATATATTCTGAGCAGATTTAAAATAGTGTGCATCCTAATTTCAACACTATAATATGACCTGGCCAGTTCAAGAGCAGTCAGATAATAGAAAAAAGTATCGATCACTTCAAAAAAATAATGATTCTTCACCGAAACATTAAGATCCGTGACTTTGCCGAGAAAAGAGACTACGTATTATATTGGATTATGATATCTTCTGAGCATATCGACAATAGTGAGCATCCTAATATCGACACTATAATATGCCCTGGCAAAGGTCGAGAGCAGTCAGATTACATAAAAAGTTATCGATCACTTCAAAATAATGATAATCCTCCACCAGAACATTAAGATCCTCGACTTCGTCAAGAATAAAAACTCCATATAATATTCGATTATGATATTTTTTGAGCAGATTAATGATAGTGAGTATCCTTATATTAACTCTATAATATGCCCTGGCGAGTTCAAGGGCAGTCAGATCACCTCAAAAAAATAATACTAATCCTCCACCAAAACATAAAGATTCGCGATTCCGCCAAGAATAGAAACTCCTTATAATATTCGATTATGATATCTTCTGAGCAGATTACCAGAAGTGAGAATGCTGATAATACCACTATAGTAAGCAATGCCGAGTTGAGAAGCTGTCAGATTATAAAAAGACCGATTTCAAAGAAATAATATTGTTCCTTCACCAAATCATTCAAATCCGCGACTCCGCCAAGAATTGAAATTCGATTATATCTTAGACAACAGAATAGGGGAATTCTGAAAATAAAGCTGTAGTATCCCCTGACAACTTCAGGATTGGTCAGATCACGAGAAGACTCATCGATCACATCAGAGGCATAATACTTCTCCTTCGCCAAAGTGCCATTACATCGAAAATCTATGGTTTCATCAAGAATATCCACATAATATTCGAATATGATATCTTCTGATATGATGAAGTTACTAATATTGGGGTTTTTATCTCAATGTGAAGTTATAATGTGATGAACAAATACGGGTGACTATCGCGATTATTTTGTTCGGTCCTTCAAACTTAATGAAATTAATAACTGATGATTATTCTGTCAAAAATAAAGTGCATTATATCTATTGGCAAAAATCACTCAGTTCCATTTGCAACTATGTAGACATGTAATATCAGATGTTATGGTTGGAAACGAAATAATGTTTTGAATGTCCCTGGAATTTCAGTCAAGAATCTCATTCACTAACAAGTAAAACCAACTTCTGTTGAAAGATTAGTGAAGGTCGACCTTACTCCGGATCTTATCCCATCATGAGACTGAGAATTACAGGATATCCCTTTTCGTGGGAACCAGAACATAAAAAAATCTCTGACCTTCCGTTTCAGTAGCGCGGTTTGGTGGAAAATAAATACCAATGTCAGCTGTCATTGAAAGCAATCAATACCTGACCTAGGATTTTTCTCACAGGAATAAAACCAAGAAGACAAACCGATGTTTATTAAATTTTTTTGACAACTATACTTGATGCATCAAAATATTCGAGATATGCTCAATAAACACGGTGAACCCTTTCTTCAGGGAGAATGAAGATATATGACTCGATGAAATATGTTGATATTTCAGTATTGATAGAAAAAAAATATACCACACACCAGATTTTCAATACATCATTTTCTTCCAGGGATCTCTGCTACCAGGCATGGACCAACCTGAGGAAGAGCCCGATGTTCGGTTGCATTTGTCCAAACAATCAGATGAAGAAAAGATGTGATCGCATTTTCAGCATGGTCAATCACAATCCGTGCGTAGGTGAGTCGCAAAATGCCCCACTCTTCCCAATTCATTCCACCCCCAATTGATACGACAGCGGCGACTCGATACGGCAAAAAAATAATAACCAAAAAAATCTTGAGAGGACGATTTTGGATGAGGAAAGAGTAGCTCCGCAATGGATTATACTCGCTCATCTAGGGGGTATAAGAATCTAGCAAGATCAAAATTCAACAAACATTACATTTCCTCGTATACAGTTTGTTTCAAAATTCAGTATACAAATTTCGGGGGTTTCTTTTTTCAGGTCAAATTGAGATATTTTTTCGCATAAACCCGTGAACATTGGCGGTCATAGAACAGAGAACGTTGAATTTTCAAGAATAGCATATTCTTCTATTCATAGCTCTTATAGTTTCCGAGATATTCAGATCAAATTTGAAGAGAGGTTACGTCTAATAGTTCACTTCCACATGTACAGGAATCTATTCTTTCTACAGATGTCAAAAGATAACAATTTCTGCCCATTGACATACACATAAATTGAATTCATGTGTGAAAACACACACACATACACTTCTTTGAAATCAACTTGTTTTCATCTAAACTGCCCGACACATCAAACGTAAAATCGCATTTTTTCTATAAAATTTGAATCATTATAAGTTTCGATTCCCTCAACCGATTCCCAATTATTCCTCAGTTTCTGAAAGCTTGTTTCATTGACTATCGAACCTATGAATATAATCACTTTATCTTTCCCGGATGATATTCTACAGGATGATAATTAAAGCTGTGCATTTTTCCAAAAATTTCAAACGCCTCCCGTTTGAGAGAAAAATTTTTCTATATTTTCCTGGGGGTCAAAAACATATTGCTCCATATGTTTTCTCAATACTGTGGAAAATTTTCTGGGATTGTCGTACGCGTTACTGAAATATTCATATTTTAATAAGGTAATGCATAATTTGATGCTCTAATTTCTATTGACTTTGTGTTTCTGTCAATCTGGTTCGAATGGTGGTCAAAAATCTTGAAATGATGCATGATTGACCCATTCCTTCAAATAGGGTGGTCCTCAAAAAACAATTATGACATCAGGTAATAAAGAAGAAACTTGTTTTACCGAGCAAGAAAATGTTGAAGCAGGAAACCGTTTGAGAAGTTTTCTGGCGATCAAAGCGTGTAGGAGAGGTTGTCATCGTCATGTCAAGTTGCTACAGAATCTGTTGCAAGATCAAACCACTGGAATTGTTAGAAAAACCTGATTTTCTGAGCGTCGTTCTAACTTTGTGATAGATTTTCATAAGATAATTTCAAGACAAAATGAGGTAGCCTGAAGAAATATACAGGATGTCATCTGAATGAAAAAAGTTGCTGACACCCAGATTTCTTGCTACCCTCACCACCGCAAATTGTTCATTTTCAATATGTATATTAAGCGAGTTGATCACATTTTCAAGATGGTTCCTAGTATTTACTGCCAAATAGCAAGATCTTAGATTTGCTAGGTTCTTTATAGTGTGTCGTTGGCAGATTTCGAAAGACGATATGAATTCCGATATGTTCTGTTCGATTTTTGCTTTCTCTTGTGTAATTTTCAGGCATCTGCGACCATTCGATCGAGAAAAAATCAGAATAATTTACTGTAATTCATTAGACTCAATTCAGATTAATGTCGTTCCTTCATTCAGTTAAACATTGTCAAAAGCATTCAAATTTGGTTTACCAAATCAATAGTAATCACCACAACCATACAACCAGACAAGCAGATCATTTTTCTGTCAAGAGAATTGGTGAAATTGGTGATATTGGTGAAAAATCCATCTATCACAATGGAATGATACAATACAATTCACTACCAAATAACTTGAAGCTGATTAATAAGATTGAGAAATTTGAAAGAGAATTCAAGAAACATCTATTCCTGTAATATCGACATCTTATTCCGTTTTTAAAGTTTTCTTGTACAACTACTCTAGTTTTCAATTGAGTACCTAACAGCTGAGTCAATTGAGAATCATTTCCATTTGAACTTGAAAAAAAAAGATTCTTTTTGAGTGTGAGTCTTATTTCACTGTATTCTTTATTTTATTTTGTCCAAATATATTTTTATGTATTCACTATGTTCCCTGCTATCAACGAATGTTGTTTCTTGGGAATAATAAAGTTGATTGATTGATTGATTGAGAATATTCCATTAAAAGAAGTGTATGTAGCGAAAAAGGACCCCTGAATAAATATCTTCCTATAGATTGTAACAATCATTCGACATGCTGATAGAGCTGTTAACAAAGAAGGCCTTGAAACTTCATCATACAGTAAGTTGATCGGCATATAAGGAAGTGCTCTTGGACACATATTCACACTAATTTATAGGAAAAAAATCTCATTGTGACCTGAAAAATATGCCCCTGGTATCTTGATAGTGAATTTTGAAGCACTCTGTATGTATTGTCTGCAAAAATATGTCTTTGATATACTTTCATCAAGAAGAATTTCAGTATATCCTATTAACATCAAAATTTCTCGAAAGAATTCACAAATTCCGAGATTTTAGATATTACAAGTTGACTATACTTGAGGATACGATATTTGTAGATTTCATTGAAGTGAGCTTAGAGCTTATAGCAGCTACTGTATCCCCGAAATTTCTCACAAATTCCATCGACGGTCGATTTATAGCGCCAACGTATAAAACTCTAATAAAACCATCCATAATCCCCCCATCGAACTTTATCGGCTGTTATTACGCGATCACAATAAACTTTTATTAAATCTTTTGTTCATTGGCTTTATTGGAAATGATGCATGATACCGATCGAGATTCGTCACGTTTTTTTGTTTGTTCCCCTTTTTGCCTGCATGAAAGGATTTCCAGAGCTTGTGAAGCTACAGCACTTTTCATCTGACGGTATAATATGTGGCGACCCATGAGGTAATCAAAATGGAAAATTCACTTCAACTTCAAACGGTTCATACTGAGTATAGGTACCGGGTGTCCCAACTCTATTTATACACGCATTTTCTGAAAACGAGTTATCCTATCAGTGTTCTGAAACATCTGGCCCTGCGTCAAACCACCTGTCATCACACACCACGAACTTTTTTTCAAATAACACCCCTTATAATTCTGGTATGTTTGAATAGAGCTCTTCAGCTCACGAATATCCGTACTACAAAAAAGGGCTGTAAGATACATGTATAAAGGAAAATTTCGCAATCATTGCAAGCCCTTGTTTCAGGCTCACAACATTCTCACATTACCATGTATCTTCATCCACGAAACTGTATGTCTGATACATAAGGAATATTCTGGAAACGTAAACACTGAAGCACGTTATAACACTAGAAATACATCCAGCTTGAAGCTGCCTATCACCAATTCGAATCTCACGAAGCATTCGATCATCTACATTAGCAGGAAGATGTATAACCATTCACCATTAGCCATAAGAACTATTCCTCTACTCAGTAAATTTAGAGAGGCCGTGAAAGAAATACTAATGACAAAAGCATATTATAATCTCCAGGAATTCTTCGACGATATCACTATTAACTAAAAGTACGCAACAATTTTTATTTCGATGAGGCATTTTGATTCAAGTCTTCATTTTATTTATAAATATATATAGAGCTACATTATATTATATTTAGGTTCCTTGCTTGACCATACACATTGTTGTGTGTTATATTATTTCAGTTATGTTTGTATTGATTCAACTTTTGAATGTATACGTGTGTTTTCTGTACTTCACATTGTTTTTATCTTTAATGGCGTATCTCATTTATTATGAGACTCTGAATGAATATGTATCAACCAACTTTGTCGATGAGAAAATTGTTTTTTTGACAATAATAGTTATTTATGCAACAAGTGCAAAAAGTGAATGTTTATTGCACGAGTTGCATACAACATTTTTTCTACGTTCATGCAAAAAGCAAAAAATGATTTATTGAGGTGCGGCACTAGGTACAATTGTGTTAATTGTCAGAATTAATTTTTGACTGACGTTTCTACAACCACAGTTGCAATATAAAAAATGTTTGTCATGATGACAGCACGTTGAAGTAGAATGGAAGATGAGTGCAATAAAAACTTTATTGCACTAAGTGCAATAAAGAACTCTTTTTCCACGAAATATAGTTCAATAAAGTTCTGCTTTTTGCATGAATGTAGAAAAATTATATTTTTGATTGATTGATTGATTGATAGAAAATGTCAAATCATCAACTTATATCATGTGAGAAATTCCGTCCACCATCATCATTAATCTAAGGACGGAATCAGACGACTGATGTACAGGGTGTCCCACCTAAATGTGTCACCTTCCTTATCCTCGTATAATTTTCAACATATTTGCCCATTCAAGAACGTTCCTGTAATAATTTTTCACGATGTTTTCGAACTTGTGCTCACTTCTTCATATCAACAAAATACATGGTTGATCCAAATCAATGTGTTACATAATCTAAGGTTTCAATTGACAGTATTCGAATCGAATGAAAATCAATATGACTGTTTTGTCACATTGAATTTGTTTATTGTGTTATTGCATCCCATTTGAAGTTTCGATTGGGTAAGATTAGAATATGAAGAAGTGTTGGGAACATCAGAGTTCAAAAACGAAATTGTCCATTGTTTTAGTGATTAGGTACTTGGGTAACACAGATCATATACGCATGTTGAATTGACAGGTTTGATTCATTGATCGAGACAGCAAAGGTATACAAACTCATGGATGTCATGAACTGGCACCATGAAAATCAATCTTGCAGATTCAACACATTCATAATTGCAGTGGATATCTTATGGACACCCTCAAGATATCTATTGGAGGATATCAATGTCGAATCCTGCGATAGATATCTCATGGATGTCAATTTCAAATCCAGTAGGAGAACAAATAATCAGATCTATTTCCAAAAAGCTTGAATATATCTTCGGACACGAAATAAACTCATGAATTGACACTATCAAAAGCAATCTTGCAAACTGAACACATTCATAAGTGCTGTGGATATCTTATAGATATCCTCAAGATATCTGCTGAATGATATCTATTTCAAATCCTGCAATGGATATCTCATGAATGTTCATTCCAAATCCAAGGATATCCTGGCCAGAATTAGACATATGAAGGATATTCATAGGATATCCTGTGTTATCTGGGTATATGCGAAAAGGTCGTTTGTCAACTAGTAGTTTTAATCACCAATTTTTGTGCAACACACTTCCTCATCTAAGACCGTTTTTTCCAGAACATTGATAATGTCATTCGATTCCGAGAAAATGCGTGTCTAAATAGACTTGGGACACAAAAAAGTTCTTTGTGGTTAAGAATGTAGGGTTGAATCCTGAGGTGTACATATAGGGAGTATCACATAGAATGTTCCAATACTGATATTGGTTCTACTCTAGAGTATGTGCATAAAATATGTCTGAATCATCAATAATTTTGTTTTATTCTCTGTTTGAATCTTGAGTCACATTCTTGAGATCCTGATGATTCATTGTCATAATTGCATTCGGAAGATTGCTCCATTCACATTATAGGCGCCCAATATGAATATTACTCTAGTGAACTATCATTGCAAGCTGACCGAAGCCTCAACTACTTTCGAAATTTCTACATGTATGTATCATCAATAATTCTGTTCCATTCTCTGCTTGAATCTTGAGTCACATTCTTGAGATCCTGATGATTCATTGTCATAATTGCATTCGAAAGATTGCTCAATTCACATCATAGGCGCCCAATATGAATATTACTACAGCTAGCTATCATTGCAAGCTGACCGAAGCCTCATTCCACTTAGTAGTTGTCTTCGTTATATCATGTTTCAGTTGGTAGATTTTGAATAGCTAGATCTCAATTCAATTGAACATTTGGAGGATATTTTTAGTGAGCTATTGAGAAGAATAGATGTGAGGGTAGCGAATTTGGGAAAGAAAACAAATATCCCGAGAACATTATTGAAAGAAAAATGGTTTTGACATCATCTGGCGGATCCGACAATAATATAGGAAGATGCGATTATAACTAGAAGTACTGCAACTGTATAGCTAAATCAAAGGTGGATAAATGCTAGATCACAATCCAATTGAACTTTTGTACGATATTTCAAGTGAGCACTTGAGGAGCATAGATGGAAAACAATGGTTTTGATAACTTCTGGTAGGATCCAGAAAGAAAAGAAATACCTATGCCAATACAGGGTGTCTGTAAAAGGTCTTAACAAAAACATACCACATATTCCCTCGACCAAAATAAGTCGATTTAAGTAAAATTACCTCAGTACAAAGTTGCATCGTTTGGGCTCCAGAGGGCCTTGAAGTTACAATTTTTAAATCGTTTTTCCCATATATATTTAAAACGGCATATGCGATTTTGCTTAAATTTGGTAAATTGATAGAGTTTCATGTGTCAAAAAAATGGTGTTGAAATTTCGTCCGACAATAACACATAGGCGTAGAACTCGATTTTTTAAATAATTGCAACTTTAAAAATTCTACGCCAATGGAATAAAAAGAGTTTGAGTATGAAAATTAGATTGCGCAACTCATTTACTTCAAAAATGGTACTCCTGATAAGACTTGATTACTCTCATGGTTTTGACGAAATTTGCATTTTAGTAATTTTAGAACATAAACAATAATTATTAAAATACAAACTTTGTCAAAACCATCAGAGTAAATCGAGTGTTATCAAGGGTTCTTCTTTGTAGTAAAAGAGTATTCAATCCAAATTTCATACTCATACCCCTTTTCTGCCATAGGCGTAGAACTTGATTTTTTGAATAATTGCACCTTTAAAAATTATACGCCAATGGCAGAAAAAGGGTTTGAGTATGGAATTTGGATTGGGTACTCATTAACTACAAAAAAGTACCCTTGATAACACTCGATTCACTCTCATGGTTTTGACAGAGTTTGTGTTATAATAATTATTGTTTATGTTCTAAAATTACTAAAATGCAAACCATGACAGTAATCAAGTCTTATCAGGAGTACCTTTTTCGAAGTAAATGAGTTGCGCAATCTAAATTTCATACTCAAACTCCTTTTCTTCCATTTGCGTTGAATTTTTAAAGGTTCAATTATTTAAAAAATGAAGTTCTACGCCCATGTATTATTATCATCCAAAATTTTAACACCATTTTTTTGCCACATGAAACTCTATCAATATACCAAATTTCAGCAAAATCGCATATGCCGTTTTGAATTTATATGGGAAAAACGATTTAAAAACTGTAACTTCAAGGCCCTCTGGAGCCCAAACGAACCAACTTTGTACTGAGGTAATTTTACTTAAATCGTTTTATTTCGGTCTAGGGAATATGAGGTATGTTTTTGTAGAGACCTTTTACAGACACCATGTATATCTAGAAGTACTGCACACTCAAACTTCGTGAATTTCTGACGTAATTAATTCCATAAAGTACAAAGGTACTGTGAAAGGGTATCTTTCTGGATATTCTCCAGCTATTACTATTCTGACATCAAAATGAATTATGCTCATTCATTTTTTTGAATTCTCTATAATCAGTCATGAAAACCATGAATCCTCCTCAGTGGTGAGACTATTCAATAGACCATTCAGTAGAATCGCTTGTAACCACCTTTGAATGAAAACAAAGAAGTAATGCATCTCTATAGTTCCCGAGATTGAAAGAAAAAGAGCAGGTCGATTCGTTTATGGCAATGAGCCACCCAGTATTCGATAGGACCGACCTATTTGGCTCCTTTCCAGAGATGGAAATCGGTCGGGTTTGGCCGTCGTCGCATACTCGCGAGAAATACAAAATAAAGTTATGTAGGTACCGGTCAATATCGAAAGGTTATCTGCGAACTAGCTCTACGATGGTCAGTGACGTCACTTCGAATTCTCACACTGCCCAAACTATGACAACAAGATAATGGGCCGGTTTCAGTGAAAACAATCAATTCATTATTATGGTGGAATAGTAAAACATCCTAAAAATTCTGGCTCTCATAATATGAAATATAAAGTAGTGAAAAAAGAAACTCAAAATTATTTGAAGTGACACAGGTGGAAGTTAAGTTCATTGTGGATGCTCATAGCTGTTAGCAAATAGTAAGTCTTCGCAATTAGTCAGTTTCACTTCATGTTTGCATACAAGAACCCAACAACAATAAACAAACTGTCTTATCTACCTTTAAACGGATGACCGGAGTTCCATCCCACCAATGGTCAACTTGTAGTTTTCAGAAATAGTTGAAACATAACTCTGCTAGTACATTGAATAGTAGACATTGTTGTATTCGAAAGATATCAACATTTGGAAATTAAGTACTGGAAATTCGTTATTAAAAAATAATTGAAACAATGTCTCAAAGGTTGACAAGATCCCAGAACATATCTCAGAATTATTCTCAAACTGCAATCAAGGTTTCAAAAACTACCTCACAAAGTAAAAAATATCCTACAATGAATACAAGCGACGAAAATGAATTTCTTAAACTCAAGAAGGAAATAGAACATCTGCGAAATGCACTAGAATTGAAAGAAAAGGAAGAGTGTGATAGGATAGAACATTA